ACTAGCATATCATATTTACACACACACACACATATATATACACACATGTCTATATATGTATATATATGTATATATATATGTATATGTATATATTCATATATACATTTATATATATTTATACATATGTACATATATTTATATATATGTATATATCTATATATATCTGTATCTATCTATATATGTATATATATACATATATGCATGTATGTATATATACATATATATATATGCATACATATACATGTGTGTGTATACATATGTGTGTGAGTGTTTGTGAATATATATATACATAGACAGATAGATAGATGGATAGATATGATATAGAGACAGATATCTAATATGTATATATATATATATATATATATATATATATATATATATATATACACATATATATAAATGTATATATATATATTTTTTTTAAATTTATTCATTATTATTATTTCTTTTTTTTAACAGACATTTATTCCGCTGCTGGACATAGGCCTCTCTCAGTTCACTACTAAGAGGTTATATGGCAGTGCCACCCTTGCCTGATTGGATGTCCTTCCTAATAGACCGCGGTTCGGCGCAAAACACTTGTGTCACGGCGGCGACTTCCCCTACGACATCTGCGTTTGATTTCTCAAGGCGATATGTCGTTTTCTCGCCGTGAGATTGAGTTCGAGCCAACAGTCAGAGCGCAGGCATTTTTGCGACTACCGCGACGGGGAAATGAACTCGGGACCACGAGGGTCGGAGTCCAGTGCTCTAACCACTGGACTATCGAGGCAGTGTTTTTCTTATCCCGATGGCGCCTGCGCGTGGCACCTCACGCTTGACGTATACACACACACACACACATATAAATGTGTGTGTGTGTGTGTGTTTGAGAACACAATATACCGTTTTCTGTATATATTTCTCATATTTTTTCCTTGGCTAGACTAATGCAGGATATTGACCTTGCAAGGGTGTGCAGTTTTCAGGCTATTGGTTACTAATAAAACCAATGAAAAATGTCACGTAGACTTTATCTGTTTAATGTCATGTCTTTTCAGATTACTATTTTCTTATCGAACTGTCATAACAATTAATCGTGGATGCATTTTAGTGAACAAACGGAGTCTGTGACACGACGCCATAAGCCACGGTCAAGATCGAGGTCGCGAGAGGCGTCGCTCACACATCTGGCTTCACATTTGCGGAATGGAAAGTACACAGTAGATGAATAAATGAATAGATGGATATGGAATGGATGAATATATGAATAGTGAATAGAAGAAAGCATAGGTAATTAGATAACCCTATAAATAAATGAAATGGATATATGATAAAAACGTAATTAATTCATCTGCTTTCCTCGTCTTGGAAGGAGTTCGATCTTGACATACCAAAAGCTCCTGCCACGAAATCAAGTTTTCATCCAGTTTATCATAATCTTATGCTGATAACTGGTGATAATCATGATGGGAAATATAAGAATAAGCGGCATTTCATTTGGCATTCACAAAGTATACGGTTTTAGTGATTCTTCTAATGAACCTATTTATATTCTAATGTTATTCGTGTCTGTTTGTTTTTTAGATAAAGAACAGGTGTTTAAAGTGTTTTTTCAGGTTCTTTTCTCGAATAAATGAGGTATGAAGTATGTTTGTTTATTATTGTTGGTTTTTCTCTTCATGTTCTCTTCACATTCTGTTGTCACTGTATTCACTATACTTAGATTGTAACTTTCATGAGATGAATCAGTATCTTTACTCCACTCATATGCATGCTTTTTGTTGATATAGTAATCAAACAATATATAATTAGATGATTGTTTTATTTATGTTCATATAAAAAACATCAGTAAAAAGAAAACAAACTAAGCATTAACAACATAACAAGAAGACGACCTTCCATTTCTTAATCTAAACAGCCGTCGCTGCTGAAGCCGCCGCCGCCGCTCTTTGGCTTTCAGCGAATCGGATCTGAAACGACGATCAGATCTGGACTTCAGGGAAAAGATCACATGTTGGTTATTCATCTAAAAATAGGAAATTCGAAATGTGTTCAGAAAATAACAAAAATCATATGTTGGTTATTCATCTAAAATAGGTAATTATTCGTAATTACAATATGATCGTGAAGCACTATGTTGCTCACCTGTTCGATATGCCATGGTTCGAGCGGATGAGGCGTCGGGAGGAGGTCGGACACCGGCTGGAAACCGCCCACGCCCGCGGTGTACGAGAGGGTGTGGGGAGTGCCGTCGGGGTGGGTGAACCTTGGGCGAGGAAAAGATTTGAAGAAGGTAAGTCTCTAACACATACCAGACGCTTTCTCGCACTTAAATATTATAACATTCATAAGAGAGAGAAAAAAGTAGGTACGAACAAATATAGAAACAAATAGCTAGACAGACGGACAGAACTCACGTGTACTGTCCACTCTTAGAGGCCGCCGCTCCTGTCTCTTGCCACGTGATGCCGTTTCCCGTCAGAATCCTGCACACAGGCATCATGTTGAATCATGCACAGATGTAATCAACAAAAAATAAACAAATAAATAAGGAAACAAATGACAACAGAAGAACAATATGAAGGCAAGTACTCCATACATCAAGCAAACGAGTTCCTTTAGGCCAAGGCAGATGAGCATCGACCTGCCACACCACTTCTGCAAAAGGACTTTGAGACGCGTCATCCTACCTGAATCCGTAGCCTCCTTGCAGGTCGATGGGCAACCTCTCGTCCACCAGGATGGGTATGGGCGTGGCGGCAGGGTAAGCATATTGTGGGCGTCCAGCCACTAAGCAAATGCAACATGCTACCACGAAAATCTATAAACACGCAAAAAAAATATAAATACCTTTGTTTTATCATTGTCCCTAAATCAAAACGGGAATTACAACGAAGAGAGTAAAGATCAAGATTCGAATTAAGCTTTCAATTTGAGGAGAGAATTTTAAGGTCAGATGAACAGCTTACAACGTCCATTGTGTGCGCGAGGAGATTCAGCGGAGGAGGAAGGGAGCGACGCGTAAGACAGGTGACTGTGGGACTCAGTGGCCACGAAACCTTTATATATCAGGGTTCTTGCCTCTCTCTTCCTTCTTGCTTCTCTCACTTCTTTCTCTTTCTCTGTCTGGTTGTGTGTCTGTATGTCTCTTTCTTGCCCCCACTCTCTCTCCCTCTATCTATCTACTATCTACCTTTCTCTCAGTGTCCATCATTTCGTGAATCCCCTTTTGTTATGAACCGCATTCATGTTGCCAAATCTAGAAAAGGTATGATTATATCTTCGTCAGAAATGCATGTATTTCTGACGAAGATGTAATCAAAACCGGTCAAATACATCTCTGGTATTGTGAAGATATCCATTCTTATTTATACCTTTTCTATCTTTTGTTATCTTCATCTTCATGATCTTGATGGTGACACTATCATATCATAGTTACACACACACACATATTAATACACACATGTCTATATATATATGTATATATATATATATATATATATATATATATATATATATATATGTATATGTATATATTTATATATACATTTATATATATTTATACATATGTATATATATCTATATGTATGTATATATATCTATATATATCTGTATCTATCTATATATGTATATATATATACATATATGCATGTATGTATATATACATATATATATATATATGCATACATATACATGTGTGTGTATACATATGTATGTGAGTGTGTGTGAATATATATATATATACATAGACAGATAGATAGTTGGATAGATATGATATAGAGACAGATATCTAATATATATATATATGCACATATATATAAATGTATATATATTTTTTTTATATTATTTTATTTATTATTATTATTATTTTTTTAACAGACATTTATTCCGCTGCAGGAGATAGGCCTCTCTCAGTTCACTACTAAGAGGTTATATGGCAGTGCCACCCTTGCCTGATTGGATGTCCTTCCTAATAGACCGCGGTTCGGCGCAAAACACTTTTCTTTTTCTTATCCCGACGGCACCTGCGCGTGAGCACCTCACGCTTGGCGTATGCACACACACACACACATATAAATCTGTGTGTGTGTGTGTGTTTGACTGAGAACACAACAATATACCGTTTTCTGTATATATTTCTCATATTTTTTCCTTGGCTAGACTAATCCAGGATATTGACCTTGCAAGGATGTGCAGTTTTCAGGCTATTGGTTACTAATAAAACCAACGAAAAATGTCACGTAGACTTTATCTGTTTAATGTCATGTCTTTTCAGATTACTATTTTCTTATCGAACTGTCATAACAAATAATCGTGGATGCATTTTAGTGAACAAATGTAGTCTGTGACACGACGCCATAAGCCACGGTCAAGATCGAGGTCGCGAGAGGCGTCGCTCACACATCTGGCCTCACAATTGCGGAATGGAAAGTAAACAGTAGATGAATAAATGAGTAGATATGGAATGGATGAATATATGAATAGTGAATAGAAGAAAGCATAGGTAATTAGATAACCCTATAAATAAATGAAATGGATATATAATAAAAACGTAATTAATTCATCTGCTTTCCTCGTCTTGGAAGGAGTTCGATCTTGACATACCAAAAGCTCCTCCCACGAAATCAAGTTTTCATCCTGTTTATCATAATTTTATGCTGATAACTGGTGATAATCATGATAAGAAATATAAGAATATACGGCATTTCATTTGGCATTCACAAAGTATACGGTTTTAGTGATTCTTCTAATGAACCTATTTATATTCTAATGTTATTCGTGTCTGTTTGTTTTTTAGATAAAGAACAGGTGTTTAAAGCGTTTTTTTCAGGTTCTTTTCTCGAATAGATGAGGTATGAAGTATGTTTGTTTATTATTGTTGGTTTTTCTCTTCATGTTCTCTTCACATTCTGTTGTCACTGTATTCACTATACTTAGATTGTTACTTTCATGAGATGAATCAGTATCTTTACTCCACTCATATGCTTTTTGTTGATATAGTAATCAAACAATATATAATTAGATGATTGTTTTATTTATGTTCATATAAAAAACATCAGTAAAAAGAAAACAAACTAAGCATTAACAACATAACAAGAAGACGACCTTCCATTTCTTAATCTAAACAGCCGTCGCTGCTGAGGCTGCCGCCGCCGCCGCTCTTTGGCTTTCAGCGAATCGGATCTGAAATGACGATCAGATCAGGACTTCAGGGAAAAAATCACATGTTGGTTATTCATCTAAAAATACGAGATTCGAAATGCGTTGAAAGTTATCCGTAATTACAGTGAGATCGTGAAGCAATGTGTTGCCCACCTGTTCGATATGCCATGGTTCGAGCGGATGAGGCGTCGGGAGGAGGTCGGACACCGGCTGAAAACCACCCACGCCCGCGGTGTACGTGAGGGTGTGGGGCGTGCCGTCGGGGTGGGTAAACCTTGGGCGAGGAAAAGATTTGAAAAAGGTGTCTATAACACACACCAGACGATTTCTCGGATTTAAATATTATAACATTCATAAGAGAGAGAGAAAAAAGTAGTTACGAACAAATATAGAAACAAATAGCTAAATAGAGAGAAAGAACTCACGTGTACTGTCCACTCTTCGAGGCCGCCGCTCCTGTCTCTTGCCACGCGATGCCGTTTCCCGTCAGGATCCTGCACACAGGTATCATGTTGAGTCATGCACAGATGTAATCAACAAAAAATAAACAAATAAATAAGGAAACAAATAATAGCAGAAGAACAATATGAAGGCAAGTACTCCATACATCAAGCAAACGAGTCCCTTTAGGCCAAGGCAGATGAGCATCGACCTGCCACACTACTTCTGCAAAAGGACTTTGAGGCTCGTCATCCTACCTGAATCCGTAGCCTCCTTGCAGGTCGATGGGCAACCTTTCGTCCACCAGGATGGGTATGGGCGTGGCGGCAGGGTAAGCATATTGTGGGCGTCCAGCCACTAAGCAAATGCAACATGCTACCACGAAAATCTATAAACACGAAAAAATATATAATAAATATCTTTGTTTTATCATTGTCCTTAGATCAAAACGGGAATAGCAACGAAGAGAGTAAAGGTCAAGATTCGAATTAAGCTTCCTTCATGAGGATCGAGTTAAGGTCAGATGAACAGCTTACAACGTCCATTGTGTGCGCGAGGAGATTCAGCGGAGGAGGAAGGGAGCGACGCGTAAGGCAGGTGACTGTGGGACTCAGTGGCCACGAAACCTTTATATATCAGGGATCTTGCCTCTCTCTTCCTTCTTGCTTCTCTCACTTCTTCTTTCTCTTTCTCTGTCTGACTGTGTGTCTGTATGTCTCTTTCTCTTTCTTGCCCCCACTCTCTCTCCCTCTATCTATCTACTATCTACCTCTTTCTCTCTCCCTTTCTCTCAGTGTCCATCATTTCGTGTATCACCTTTTGTTATGAACCGCATTCATGTTGTCAAATCTAGAAAAGGTATGATTATATCTTCGTCAGAAATGCATGTATTTCTGACGAAGATGTAATCAAAACCGGTCAAATACATCTCTGGTATTGTGAAGATATCCATTCTTATTTATACCTTTTCTATCTTTTGTTATCTTCATCTTCATCTTGATCTTGATGGTGACACTATCATATTATAGTTACACACACACATATATATATGTACACATGTATATATATGTATATGTATATATATATACATACATATAAATTTATATATATACTTTTATTTTTTATTATTTATTTATTCATTTATTTATTTTATTATTATTATTATTTTTTAACAGACATTTATTCCGCTGCAGGACATAGGCCTCTCTCAGTTCACTACTAAGAGGTTATATGGCAGTGCTACCCTTGCCTGATTGGATGTCCTTCCTAATAGACCGCGGTTCGGCGCAAAACACTTGTGTCACGGCGGCGACTTCCCCTACGACATCTGCGTTTGATTTCTCAAGGCGATATGTCGTTTTCTCGCCGTGAGATTGAGTTTGAGCCAACAGTCAGAGCGCAGGCATTTTTACGACTACCGCGACGGGGAAATGAACTCGGGACTACGAGGGTCGGAGTCCAGTGCTCTAACCACTGGACTATCGCGGCAGTCTTTTCCTTATCCCGACGGCTCCTGCGCGTGAGCACCTCGCACTTGGCGTACACACACACACACACACACACATATATATATGTGTGTGTGTGTGTGTGTTTGACTGAGAACACAACAATATACCGTTTTCTGTATATATTTCTCATATATTTTCCTTGGCTAAACTAATGCATGATATTGACCTTGCAAGGATGTGCAGTTTTCAGGCTACTGGTTATTAATAAAACAAATGAAAAATGTCACGAAGACTTTATCTGATTCATGCCATGTCTTTTCAGATTACTATTTTCCTATCGCACTGTGTCATAACAATTACCCGCGGATGCATTTTAGTGAACAAACGGAGTCTGTGACACGACGCCATAAGCCACGGTCAAGATCGAGGTCGCGAGAGGCGTCGCTCACACATCTGGCCTTACAATTGCGGAATGTAAGGTAAATAGATAAATAAATGAGTAGATAAATATTGAATGGATGAATGCATGAATAGTGAATAGATGAAAGCATAGGTAATTAGATAAACTTCGATAAATGAAATGGATATATAATAAAAACGTAATTAAATCATCTGCTTTCCTCGTCTTAGAAGGAGTTCGATCTTGACAATACCACAAGTTCCTCTCACTAAATCAAGTTTTCATCCTGTTTATCAGAATTTTATGCTGATAACCGGTGATAATCATGATAAGAAATATACGGCATTTCATTTGTCATTCACAAAGTATACGGTTTTAGTGATTCTTCTAATGAACCTATTTATATTCTAATGTTCGTGTCTGTCTGCTTGTTTGTTTGTTTGTTTTATGTTGATAAAGAGCAGGTGTTTAAAGCGTTTTTTTCAAGTTCTTTTCTCGAATAAATGACATCTGAAGTATTTGAAAATGCCTCTTTTTTGTATGTTTATTTAGTATTGTTTTTCTCTCCATGTTCTCTTCACATTCTGTTGCCACTGTATTCACTTTACTTAGATTGTTACATTCATGAGATGAATCAGTGTCTTTACTCCACTCATATATATGCTTTTCGTTGAAATAGTAATCAAACAATGTACAATCAGATGAATGTTTTATTAATGTTCATATAAAAAAACGTCAGTAATAAGAAAACAAACTAAGCATTAACAACATAACAAGAAGACGACCTTCCATTTCTTAATCTAAACAGCCGTCGCTGCTGAAGCTGCCGCCGCCGCTCTTTGGCTTTCAGCGAATCGGATCTGAAACGACGATCAGATCAGGACTTCAGGGAAAAAATCACATGTTGGTTATTCATCTAAAAATACGAGATTCGAAATGTGTTCAGAAAAAAAATATGTATAATAATTATTCGTAATTACAGTAAGATCGTGAAGCCCTGTGTTGCCCACCTGTTCGATATGCCATGGTTCGAGCGGATGAGGCGTCGGGAGGAGGTCGGACACCGGCTGGAAACCGCCCACGCCCGCGGTGTACGAGAGGGTGTGGGGAGTGCCGTCGGGGTGGGTGAACCTTAGGCGAGGAAAAGATTTGAAAAAGGTAAGTCTCTCACACATACCAGACGCTTTCTCGAAAGAAAATCAGAGAGAGAGGGGGGGAAAGGTAAGTACGAACAAATATAGAAACAAATAGCTAGATACAGAGAAAGAACTCACGTGTACTGTCCACTCTTAGAGGCCGCCGCTTCTGTCTCTTGCCACGCGATGCCGTTTCCCGTTAGGATCCTGCACACAGGCATCGTGTTTATTGTCAGATATAATCAACAAATAAACGAATAAATAAGGAAACAAATGATAACAGAAGAACAATATGAAGGCAAGTACTCCATACATCAAGCAAACGAGTCCCTTTAGGCCAAGGCAGATGAGCATCGACCTGCCACACCACTTCTGCAAAAGGACTTTGAGACGCGTCATCCTACCTGAATCCGTAGCCTCCTTGCAGGTCGATGGGCAACCTCTCGTCCACCAGGATGGGTATGGGCGTGGCGGCAGGGTAAGCATATTGTGGGCGTCCAGCCACTAAGCAAATACAACATGCTACCAGGAGAATCTATAAATACGAAAAAATATATTTTAAATATCTTTGTTTTATCATTGTCCTTAGATCAAAACGGGAATAACAACGAAGAGAGTAAAGATCAAGATTCGAATTAAGCTTTCAATTTGAGGAGAGAATTTTAAGGTCAGATGAACAGCTTACAACGTCCATTGTGTGCGCGAGGAGATTCAGCGGAGGAGGAAGGGAGCGACGCGTAAGACAGGTGACTGTGGGACTCAGTGGCCACGAAACCTTTATATATCAGGGTTCTTGCCTCTCTCTTCCTTATTGCTTCTCTCACTTCCTCTGCTTCTTCTTTCTCTTTCTCTGTCTAGGCGTGCGTCTGTATGTCTCTCTCTCTCTCTCTCTCTTTTTCTCTTTCTCTCTTCCCCCCTCCCTCTCTCTCTCGCACTATGTATATACTATCTTTCTCTCTTTTTCTCAGTGCCCATCATTTCTTTTATCACGTCATCTTCATCTCCCATGATCGTGATAGTGACACAGGCATTTTTTTTTTTACTCAAATAGTAGCATAAAAAGGAAAAACATATCCTCTTTGTCTCTCTCTATTTATACATTTGACTTTACATGATTACTTTTTTCACAAATTACGTCGCAATCCTGAATACACAAATAACTTTCCTATCTAATGTATCTTTCCTGTATGTGTGAATAAGAAATGTTATTCACAGACTACGAACGAAATAGATCTATTATGTGTTTACTACAGACAGACAAGAAAGAAACATACAATATTGGGGTTGTAGGTCTTAGTAAAGCTGTGTTGCATTGATAAGGTACTGTTATATGCTGATATAGATGTTATTTTTACATGATATTGGTGTTACTACCTTGTTCATGTCACAGCTAATAAGTGATTTGCTTAACCCACTGCCATCTGTTGAGCGTTATCTGCTGAATATCAGTTGTCTATTCAATTTACAAAGACAAGAACTACATCCACATCCATTCATACTAAGGTCATTTCTCGTTCGTTTACAGAAGAAATTGGCTTTATACGCTGCAATATATGGTTGCATGTGTATATGTATATGTCCATATATGTATGTGTGTGTGTTTATGTACATGCATACATACATACACACACACACACACACACACACACACACACACACACACACACACACACACATATATATATATATATATATATATATATATATATATATATATATATGTATGTGTGTTTGTGTGTGTATGTATATATCTATCTATCTATCTATATATATATATATATTTTGTTACACTTATCCTCTCAAAAACCTATTTTATCTGTGAT